TCTGGAACCTCTCCATGGATGATCCTGATTCGAACAGTGGCACTTTGTGTCACCAGGTGTTTATCAATCAATGTGATGTCCTGGTGGGGGTAGAAAGTCAGCCGTATGCAGATTTAAAGGCCTCACTAGGGGAAAACTACAGCTGGTAATCTTTATGCCAACTAGTGATCTTGTGAGATGCAATTTTTCGTTATTTTGAAGCCCCCACCCTGGCTCTTGTCAGGGGCCGCAATATAGCCCGGCCATAAATATGTTTAATAGCTGAACGCGGTTTCTGGGACCTCTCCATGGATAATCCTCATCCACATGGTGGCACTTTGTGTCATCAGGTGTTTATCGTTCGTGTTATGTCCTACTGGGGTAAAATGTACTACTACTATCCAGGTTGACCAGCGGCTGCAGCGGGAACCACCCCTCCTTGACTTCCGGTCAAAATGGGCGCTAGGCAGGGACACTGTTCGGAGCCGAGGCAAATTGTTTGCTTCTGCCAGACGGTGGCCGATGCATTTTTGCTCCATTTGTAGACTGGAAATAGTTTTGTCGTCCAGCTTCTGAGTTGAATGCATGGCATGACACTGTGAGCTGCAGATTTAATTCTGAATGTTTTTTTTCGACTGACCAACGTGGTGGTGTGAATTGTAGATTCAGAAAATGGCGCAATGCCTATTGTCGCAATGTTGGTGGTGCCCGTATGTGATTAAAATTGATCGCTTGGGCAAATGCTGATCTGTTGGTGACTTCTGTTACCATCAATGATGAACTGCATTTCTAATGTCGGACTGTTTGTGTTAGCACTTCGAATGGCTACCATATGCTTTAATGCATGTGCATGCTAGATATTGCTGCGACAGTAGTCTGCCAATCTTTTCACAAGGGACTGTGATAAACATTCTGTGTGTTTTTCGTTGGCACAGGAGAGGAGCAAAGATGGGGTGACCCGCTTTGTTATGAAGCTGAAACTAAGACTACCAGACCAGATCAACCTACCGTGCCCTGTGACAAGTGTCAGGACTGTCCTCTGGACAGCTGAATTCTGACACAGTCACAACATATAAATAAGAACAAAAACACATCGCATATTACAACTTTATGTTGGTATCCTTGTCACACAGACTAGACATGTTCACATAAATAACAAGTATGATCACGCAGAACAACAAATCATGACAAAATGTAATCACAAACATGAACAAAAATCCTGACTGGATCCTCTACAACATCCCTGAGTATGTTAAAACCTTCCCGGCTAAAGTAGGTCAAAGGTCAGGTACCCTTTGATGTATACAGAAATTTATTTTTAGACCAGTGACCACTTGTGTAATGGTGTGAATTTCCGGGGAAATCCCAGAGAGTTCCCGATGGGGAGGACCCGGTCAGAGGACCAGTGATACAAAAGGAAAACGAGATAAGTGGGTCTGGAGTATCCCATGGTGAGCGAATAAGGGATACAAAAATTGCGTGAGACTGGAACGAAGACGTGAACCGAGAGACAATAGTAAGACAGTTTAAGTTCGGACCTGGATGAGTGAGGTCATCTGTGAGAGAACAACTGATGAGAATGGAGAACTTGTGACCACGTAAAATTGTTCAAGACAAGATATGAATGTTTCCTGATTGCCAGTTTTCACATATACTAATACCAGGTACAAGGCTTTAGTGTGATTCGAGAGATACGAACCGAGCAAAGCAGTGTGCAAGAGATTTGGCCAGGTCATCAGAAATCAGCCATGCATAGTGATGAAAGAATGCGCTGTCAGTGAGATGTTTGATTCAGCGAATAAAGCTCTATAACTGAACATTCATTTCTGGTGTGTCATAGCAACTAAGTGTTTGTCAATACAGCAATGTGGCGTGTAGAAACAAACCCCTAACAGAGCACATTGCACTTGATGAATCAGGCAGTCAATATCACCCTGTCCACCTTTACTTCCCCTGCACCCATTCTTCAGCTTGGACAATCTTGGTTGCAAGCAATTAAACAAAAACAAAAATTTCTAGCTTTTGTGGAGACTTGAGTGCTACAACAGTATTATTTTTCTAAGAGAGCACCATGATCTGTTTGCCCCTGTCAGTCATGAGCCCTGCCCAGATATCTCAGCCATCATGTAATTTGAGAAGTAACTATTTATATTTGGCTAGAGCACAGTTGAAAAATCTGGCATCCTCAGAGCTCACATCTAATGTGTGTACCTCCTGTATTTTATATTCGGTTAGAGCACAGTTGAGAAATCTGGCATTCCCAGTGCTCATATCTAATGTGTGTATCTCCTGCCTTTTATATTCGGCTAATATGACTTACGCTAATATGACATACTGTATATGCGACATCACTGTTGAGTTGAAATGACATCACTGTTGTGCTGATATGACATACTGCGGATGTGTCATCACTGTTGTGTTAAAATATACAACAGATATCACAAACAAAAGACAGACAACTCTGTACAGAAATATCTCAGCAGTATGTTTCAATCAAAATAATAATGGCAAGACTTGAGCTAAGCTAAATGGAATCAGATGTAAAACATCAATTACAGGCTGGCTGTACACAATTTACAGTCACTGTATATCCAAAGGATGCTGTGGCGACAAGACTTCATCAGCAAGCAATGAGAAACAAAATCCACAACATCAAGAAGGAAACAGCATGAATGGGGCACATTCAAGCCTTGCAGTGGTGACCAAACATATTTTTCTACGCCTTTAAGATGTATTGGGTATATAGGGCTAGACCTATATTTAATAGACCAACGGCACAAGATTGGTGACGTGGTCAGCATCACACCGGCCGCCTTTACTTCCCAAGGCTGCACCTGGTACCCACTCAAAGCTGGGTCGACCTGGAGGTCAAGGTCATTTTTGATCCGCAGGTAAGCAACTAGCCACTACCCCGTGGCCACTCCCTAAACATTTTAGATCACCTAGTAATCAATCAATCTTTCCCTCATGCAGTTACAGAGTATTGCATCCATACAACTGCAAAGCCCACAACAGACAACTGCGTAGATTTTTATCTAAGCATGGGGCGTCGCAGATCAACACAGCCTAAAATGGGTACCAGGATGTATGTCCTGGGGAAGTAAAGACGGCCGGCGTAATGCTGACCATATTACCCACCTAATGCCGATTAGTCTGTAAAAACATGGGCGCTCTTCCCATATGCCCGCTGCACCTAAAGGCGTGAAAAGGGATCTTTACTTTTACTAAAGGCAATGTCTGAAATCATTTTTCTGCCCTATGATGGTAGTTAATGCAATACTCTGTAAGTGTAGAAATACCAGTTATTTACAAGGAGGGGTATTAAACTACTAGCTACCACTATAGGATACTGGACTGCCTGAATGAGGTTTGTTTCAGTGTCCTTGCATTCTCTATGTTGTCTTTCTGATAACTACTTGCTGATGAAACTTGTCCAGTGGTGTCCCTTTCTGTGTGTTGTGTGTGTGGGGATACTAGCCGAGAGACAGGTCCAGAAGACCTACACTGGAAGATAACGGCGTCATGCCGTGATGCTAAGGATGCCCATTTAAGTCAAAATAATGTGAAGACCTACTTATAAGATGCTAAAATGATGTTTTCTTTCCAAAAAAAAAAAAAAAAAAACTCAAAATAACCCGATGACCTATTTATAAATGTCAATATAACAGGAAGATCTGGACATAAAATGTATGGACATATTTTGCGAGATCTCAAAATAAAGCAACAATCTACTTTAAAATGGTTTGCGCATATTTAAAAGATGTCAAAATAATGTGACGACCTACTTTACAATGTTTACAAGATGGCAAAACAGTGTGACAACCTATTTATGAATGTCAAAATATTTAATTTGCAGTGTGCCAAAATAATGCTACATACGACCTATTTATAAAATGTCAAAATAACATGATGACATATCTATAAAACATCACAACATGTCCTATTTAATAAAGCTTCTAAAATATGATGGCCTGTTTATAAAATGTCAAAAAACCTCGACATAAAATGTGGAGACATATTTGAGTCAAACAAGGTTCATACATTCTTTTAACTATATCCATGTAAAACCCCGACACCATGTTTTCAACCATCCATTCCTTCCTCGCATGCCTACACACAACTTCAACACCCTCCATCTTTCCATTATATTTTGTTTTCCTTTTTGAAACACATTTTGTAGTATAACAATGGTGATAACATACCTTCCGTTTTTATGAACTAAAATAAACATTGGCTATCCTCCAAATAACGGGCACAAAATATGGCAGCCACGATCAGGGCCTCAGTCATGTGCCACTTCCGGCGACTTAATTTGCGAGCTTTTGGCGACTACCGCCACCGCCGAGAGTATCCCCCACACCGCGTGGATTGGGGCTAACCTAGATGGCTGGGACTCACAAGCAAAGCTGCAAATGACACGTGACTGAAGCTCTGTTAGGTGTTTTTTTTGCGGCCGCCATATTTTGTGCCCGTTATTTGGAAACATCTAACGGAGAAATAAAAATTAAACACACACACAATCTGCCAGTCAATAATATCAAATGCACACCTGATGTGTAATCCACACCTGATGTGTAATCCACACCTGATGTGTATCCACACCTGTGGATCTTCCCGCTCTCTGTGAAAATATAATGCCTCTTCTGTACAAGATAAAAGCAGTGTTCGCTTCTGGGTGATGATGATGATAAAATATTCACACTAGATAGATCATAATTTACGTCTTGAACACATCGCAAAATATCACAAGTCCAGTGTATACACGCCAGCAGGTTCTTCAATGTCCGCACATTCTTCTTGTCCTGCCATCAACGAAACCGCAAAGAAGAATGAACTATCAACATCCTGCGAACTTTGCCTGTGACATCATTCAGGCCAGGATGTCAGGCAATCTCAGGTAAGCTGATCAACACACCCAGAATGCTATTAATCCTGACATTGTGGATCTGTTTGACCGCAGGTGCTTCCATCTCCCAGGAGCCCAGTGTGCCTCTAGTCCAATGAGATGATCAATGCTTCAGTTAGTACATGGCCTTCAGCTGTTCGTAAGTCATGAAGAACTGCCAGAAGGTTAAGGTAAATCGCTGACCATAATCACTGAGAGGACACACACCTTGCACCACTGTTCAACACACACACCTAGTATTGTTTAACATAGGCGCACACACACACCTAGCACTGTTAACACACACATCCAGCACTGTTCAACACACACACACACCTAGCATTGTTAAACACACACAAACCTAGGACTGTTTAACACACACACCTAGCACTGTTATCACACACACCTAGCACTGTTCAACACACACACACCTAGCATTGTTAAACACACACAAACCTAGCATTGTTCAACACACACCTAGCACTGTTTAACATACACACACACCTAGCACTGTTCAACACATACACCAAGTACTGTTCAACACAGACGCACACACACACCTAGCATTGTTCAATTCACACACACCTAGCACTGTTTAACACACACCTAGCATTGTTTAACACACACACACACCTAGCACTGTTAAACATACACACCTAGCACAGTTCAACACACACACCTAGCACTGTTTAACACACCACACCTAGCACTGTTTAACACACACACACACCTAGCACTGTTAACACACACTCACCTAGCACTGTTCAACATTATGCCACTCTCTCAGTACACAGCTCTACAACTAATTTCTCTAAAGTTTGAAAACTGATTACCTAATCAACACTCCATACAGCAATTATTTGACACAAGCAGTAAGAATACAATGATCCAAGCAGAAAGAATACAATGATCCAAGCAGTAAGAATACAATGATCCATAGAACAATTCTCTGACATAAGCAACAAGAATCCAATGATCCATACAACACACAAAAATTCTCTGAAACAAACAAGAAAAATACAATGATCCATACAACATACAATAATTCTCTGACACAAGCAACAAGAAATACAATGATCCATACAACATACAATAATTCTCTGAAATAAGCAACAAGAATACAATGATCCATTCAACATACAATAATTCTCTGACATAAGCAGAGAGAATACAATGATCCATACAACATACAATAATTCTCTGACACAAGTAACAAGAATACAATGATCCATACAACAACAATGATCCATTCAACAATTCTTTGACACAAGTAGCAAGAATACAATGATCCATTCAACAATTCTCTGACACAAGTAGCAAGAATACAATGATCCATTCAACAATTCTCTGACACAAGTAGCAAGAATACAATGATCCATTCAACAATTCTCTGACACAAGTAGCAAGAATACAATGATCCATACAACAATTTTCTGACACAAGTAGCAAGAATACAATGATCCATACAACAATTTTCTGACACAAGTAGCAAGAATACAATGATCCATACAACAATTCTGACACAAGTAGCAAGAATACAATGATCCATACAACAATTCTCTGACACAAGTAGCAAGAATACAATGATCCATTCAACAAATTCTCTGACACAAGTAGCAAGAATACAATGATCCATTCAACAATTCTCTGACACAAGTAGCAAGAATACAATGATCCATACAACAATTCTCTGACACAAGTAGCAAGAATACAATGATCCATACAACAATTCTCTGACACAAGTAGCAAGAATACAAAGTAGCAAACAATAATTCTCTGACACAGCAATGATACCATGATCCATACAAACAATTCTCTGACACAAGTAGCAAGAATACAATGATCCATACAACAAATTCTCTCTGACACAAGTAGCAAGAATACAATGATCCATACAACAATTATCTGACACAAGTAGCAAGAATACAATGATCCATACAACAATTATCTGACACAAGTAGCAAGAATACAATGATCCGTACAACAATAATTCTCTGACACAAGTAGCAAGAATACAATGATCCATACAACAATTCTCTGACACAAGTAGCAAGAATACAATGATCCATACAACAATTCTCTGACACAAGTAGCAAGAATACAATGATCCATACAACAATTCTCTGACACAAGTAGCAAGAATACAATGATCCATACAATGATTCTCTGATATAACCAGCAAGAATACAATGATTCATACAACTTATATCTGACACAAGTGGCAAAGAAACATGCTACATATATAACAATATAAGATCTATGAAGACAAGCAAAATTTCTCCAACACAAGAAGAAAAGGATACAAAGATATTCCATGGTCCCAACCTCAGCCAATTGGGGATGAATACTTTGTAGAGAGCCATGATTCCTTCCATCTTCCCCCTACAAAACCAAACAAACAGACAAACAGTGAGCCAACATGTGAACACGACAGTGATGGGACTGCTGACTGACATCACAAGTTCTATATTCTGTCCCATGCTACATGCCTAAAATATGGCCATCAAGATCTGTGAAGACATCACAAGTTCTATATTCTGTCCCATGCTACATATGTAAGACATAGCCATCAAGATCTGTGAAGACATCACAGGTTCTATATTCTGTCCCATGCTACATATGTAAAACATGGCCATCAAGATCTGTGAAGACATCACAAGTTCTATATTCTGTCCCATGCTACATGCCTAAAACATGGCCATCAAGATCTGTGAAGACATCACAAGTTCTATATTCTGTCCCATGCTACATCCCATGTATGTAGCAACATAGCCATCAAGATCTGTGAAGACATCACAAGGTTCTATATTCTGATCTGTGAAGACATCACAGGTTCTATATTCTGTCCCATGCTACATATGTAAGACATAGCCATCAAGATCTGTGAAGACATCACAGGTTCTATATTCTGTCCCATGCTACATATGTAAGACATGGCCATCAAGATCTGTGAAGACATCACAAGTTCTATATTCTGTCCCATGCTACATATGTAAGACATGGCCATCAAGATCTGTGAAGACATCACAGGTTCTATATTCTGTCCCATGCTACATATGTAAGACATAGCCATCAAGATCTGTGAAGATCACTGTTCTATATTCTGTCCCATGCTGATATGTACAACATGGCCATCAAGATCTGTGAAGACATGAAATCATGGGTGTTTTACTTACTGTAAAATATTGTAAAATAATCCTATTCCTGGTGACAAGCCCCAGTCAGCTGGGTATTAATCACATGAAGAAGGCAAGGAGGTTTAAATGGCTGATGGAATCTTGGCCGTGACCCCGGTTGTGCTTGCAGTCATTGGAGAAGCTAGCTTCTCTTTCTGGTTCCTCTGTGATGTCAGAAAACAGACAATATATGTTTACATGTTTTCTGCTGTAGAATTAAACAATGTCTGACATTTTGGCTCTGCATACAAGAGAACTCATTCCTCTTCTCCCTACACTCTGGCTGCTGCATACAAGAGAACTCATTCCTCTTCTCCCTACACTTGGCTGCATGCATTCAAGAGAAATTTCCTGTTTACACTGTTTTTCTGCTGTAGAATTAAACAATGTCTGACATTTTGGCTGCTGCATACAAGAGAACTCATTCCTCTTCTCCCTACACTCTGGCTGCAGCATACAAGAGAACTCATTCCTCTTCTCCCTACACTCTGGCTGCTGCATACAAGAGAACTCATTCCTCTTCTCCCTACACTCTGGCTGCTGCATACAAGAGAACTCATTCCTCTTCTCCCTACACTTGCTGCAGCATACAAGAGAACACATTCCTCTTCTCCCTACACTCTGGCTGCTGCATACAAGAGAACTCATTCCTCTTCTCCCTACACTCTGGCTGCTGCATACAAGAGAACTCATTCCTCTTCTCCCTACACTCTGGCTGCTGCATACAAGAGAACTCATTCCTCTTCTCCCTACACTCTGGCTGCTGCATACAAGAGAACTCATTCCTCTTCTCCCTACACTCTGGCTGCTGCATACAAGAGAACTCATTCCTCTTCTCCCTACACTCTGGCTGCTGCATACAAGAGAACTCATTCCTCTTCTCCCTACACTCTGGCTGCAGCATACAAGAGAACTCATTCCTCTTCTCCCTACACTCTGGCTGCTGCATACAAGAGAACTCATTCCTCTTCTCCCTACACTCTGGCTGCTGCATACAAGAGACTCATTCCTCATCCTCTCTCTCTCCCTACACTGGCTGCTGCATACAAGAGAACTCATTCTCTTCTTCTCCCTACACTCTGGCTGCTGCAGCATACAGAGAGAACTCATTCCTCTTCTCCCTACACTCTGGCTGCTGCATACATGGCAGAGAACTCATTCCTCTTCTCCCTACACTCTGGCTGCTGCATACAAGAGAATACATTCCTCTTCTCCCTACACTGGCTGCTGCTACATGAGAACTCATTCCTCTTCTCCCTACACTCTGGCTGCTGCATACAAGAGAACTCATTTCCTCTTCTCCCTACACTCTGGCTGCAGCATACAAGAGAACTCATTCCTCTTCTCCCTACACTCTGGCTGCAGCATACAAGAGAACTCATTCCTCTTCTCCTACACTCTGGCTCAAAAGATTACTCATTAGCTATTAATCTGGCTATGCATACAAGAGCAACTCATTCCTCTGGTTAGGCACTGCTGCATATTGAGAACTCACTTACTCTTCTCCCTACACTCTTGCTGCATACAAGAGAAACATTCCTCTCCCTACACTCTGGATGCTGCATACAAGAGAGAACAGATTCCTCTTCTCCCTATTTCTGGCTGCTGCATACTTGAACTCATTCCTCTTCACCCAGTACTATGCTGCATGCATACAAGAGAACTCATTCCTCTTCTCCCTACACTCTGCTGCTGCATACAAGAGACACTCATTCCTTTCTCCCTACATCTGGCTGCTGATGAGAGAGAACTCATTCCTCTTCTCCCACTCTGGCTGTTTGCATACACTGAGAACTCAGTTCCTCTCTCACTACAACTGCTAGCTCTACAAGAGAACTCATGCCATTCTGAGCATAACATACTTGCTCACACCAGCACTACATTCCTCTGTACCATTGAATCATGAGACTCATTCCTGACTCCCTGAAGGCACCTGTCTTCACTGTGCATCCTCTATATCTTTACCACTGAGTCTGCTATTGTCTTGACCACTGATCCAAAGCTGTCTTCACACTGAGATAACTTCCTCTTGATCCACTGAGATAACTATGCCTTGACCACTGAGATAAACACTGTCTCTTGACCACTGAGATAACACTATACATGACACACTGAGACTAGTCTCTTTCCATGACCACTGAGGAGACTGCTGCCTTGACCACTGAGATATACTGCTTGAACACTATGTCTTGACTGAGATACTATGTCCTTGACCACTGAGATAAATGTCTTGACCACTGAGATAACTATGTCCTGAACCACTGAGATAACATGTCTGTCTTGCCTCACTCTGAGATGAATGACTGTCCTCTTGACCACTGAGATAACATGCTCACTGTCTTGACCACTGAGATAACTATGTCTTGACCACTGAGATAACTATTCTTGACCACTGAGATAACTATGCCTTAACCACTGAGATAACTATGTCTTGACCACTGAGATAACTATGTCTTGACCACTGAGATAACTATGTCTTGACCACTGACTGAGATAACTATGTCTTGACCACTGAGATAACTATGTCTGACCACTGAGATAACTATGTCTTGACCACTGAGATAACTATGTCTTGACCACTGAGATAACTATGTCTTGACCACTGAGATATATATGTCTTGACCACTGAGATAACTATGTCTTGACCACTGAGATAACTATGCCTTGACCACTGAGATAACTATGTCATAACTGTGTCTTGACCACTGACTAACTCCTTCTTGACCACTGAGATAACTATGTCTGACCACTGAGATAACTGTAACTTGACCACCTGAGATAACTATGTCCTTGACCACTGAGATAATAATGAATGTCCTAACAGGCCCACTGATAACTATGTCTTGACCACTGACTAACTATCTCTTGACCACTGAGATAACTATGTCTTGACCACTGAGATAACTGTCTTGACCACTGAGATAACTATGTCTTGACCACTGAGATAACTATGTCTTGACCACTGAGATAACTATGCCCTTGACCACTGAGATAACTATCCTGTCTTGACCACTGAGATACTGGCCTTGACTACTGAGATAACTGTGTCATACCACTGAGATAACCATGCCCTGAAAACATCCATGACTATCCTTCAGGTCTGTAACATCCTGAGATAAATATGTCTTGCCCACTGAGATAACATGACTGTCTTGACCACTGTAATAACCATGACTATCCTGAGAGTCCACTGACCACTGACATGACTATCTTCCAGGCCCACTGTAACATCCATGACTATCCTCCAGGCCCACTGTAACATACATGACTATCCTCCAGGCCCACTGTAACATACATGACTATCCTCCAGGCCCACTGTAACATCCATGACTATCTTCCAGGCCCACTGTAACATACAAGACTATCTTCCAGGCTCACTGTAACATCCATGACTGTCCTCCAGGCCCAGTGTAACATACATGAGTATCTTCCAGGCCCACTGTAACATCCATGACTGTCCTCCAGGCCCACTGTAACATACATGAGTGTCTTCCAGGCCCACTGTAACATACATGACTGTCCTCCAGGCCCACTGTAACATACATGACTATCTTCCAGGCCCACTGTAACATCCATGACTGTCCTCCAGGCCCACTGTAACATACATGACTATCTTAAAGGCCCACTGTAACATCCATGACTGTCCTCCAGGCCCAGTGTAACATCCATGACTGTCCTCCAAGCCTCCATGTCCATGACTCTCCTCTAGGCCCCCTGTCCTATCCATAGGTGTCCTGCTTTGTTGTGTGTCTGTCTGGCTTTACTAGTCAACTTTATGTTTAGAAATCAGCCATTGCTTGTTGGAGGATCGGCATGCTACACCATTGCTGACATTAACACAAAACCATCCAAAGACAAATGAGGCAGAAATAATTCTGACACCTTTCAGTTTTTCCAGATCACAGTGTTATTTATGCAGAAATAAACATTGACATACAGTAAGGAAGCTGCCGTGGTCTAGTGGCTAGATGTCACCTGCAGGCAAGAAAGTCTTGGGTTCAGGTACTGACTTTTTTCAAAAATGATCTTGGCTTCCAGGTAGACCCAGCCTTCAGTGGGTACCAGGTACAGTCCTGGGAAGTAAGGGCGGTCGGCGTGATGCCGACCACATCACCAACGAAGTGCCGTAGTATAAAAAATATAGGTCTAGCCCTATATACCCAATACACCTGAAACGGATGGAAAAGGATCCCTTACTTTAACTTTATACAGTAAGCTAAAAAAAAAAAATAATCATCAAAAACTGACCTTGCAAACGTCAACAGGATTTGAGGCAAGAGCTCCAGCAAAACCAGCAAGAAAGCTGGCACTGAAACAGAGAACATGGTGTCTTTACTGGTAATGTTAGAGAACATGGTGTCTTTACTGACAATGTTGGAGAACATGGTGTCTTTAATGGCAATGTTGGAGAACATGGTGTCTTTACTGGCAATGTTGGAGAACATGGTGTCTTTACTGGCAATGTTAGAGAACATGGTGTCTTTACTGGCAATGTTGGAGAACATGGTGTCTTTACTGGCAATGTTAGAGAACATGGTGTCTTTACTGGCGATGTTAGAGAACATGGTGTCTTTACCGGCAATGTTAGAGAACATGGTGTCTTTACTGGCAATGTTAGAGAACATGGTGTCATTACTGGCAATGTTAGAGAACATGGTGTCTTTACTGGCCATGTTAGAGAACATGGTGTCTTTATTGGCCATGTTAGAGAACATGGTGTCTTTACCGTCAATGTTAGAGAACATGGAGTCTTTACTGGCTATGTTCTGGGAATCAATGTCAAGTCAAGTTTCCAGTAAACATCTTCCGTCTGCTGTTACCAGGGCTGCAAAAGACTTGCCCCAGACTAAGTTACATTACTCTAAGCCAAAATTGCAGGTATCTGGCTGACAGCAGCTGAGGCACTGAAAGTTACTTGTTTCCAGCTATGTTCTGCTGGTGCACATTTTCCATTTCTGGACTGAGAGCCCAAAGGTTCCATTGCCCAGCTACTGAGCTGAATGCTTGGTGAGATACTGTTAGCTGTGGAAATGTTATGTCCTGTTATGCCGTGGGTTCTGCCGACTGACCTAAAATATTTATTTTCCCCCTTTATGATGTACAGAGTCCCATTGTGGAATAAAATAGACCCACTACCCGCAAGCTTGTCGTAAGAGTTGACTAATTAAGGATGTTTCCTTTAAAGTCGGAGTGCATCTGTCTGAGAGGTAAGGAACCATCAGTCTGCATACAAATAAGCAAGATCTGTCAGGTACTGCACTGTCACATTAGTGCAGGTACTGTCAGGTACTGCACTGTCACATTAGTGCAGGTACTGTCTTCTGTATACAATACAGTATCAACATGACATGACTGGGGGGCTGTGTGGTCACGAGGCATGGTATCCGCCTTCAGTGCTAGAGGCTTCGGGTTCACTACTCGGTAAGGGCTGGGATTTTTTCATGTGGATTGGTCTCTGGGTAGTGAGATCGGACGCCCGTTTGCATTGTTGCGCACACAAAAAATCTCTTGGCAGTTGGAAATCCAAAAGAGTAGCCTAACTGCGTTGCCCGGGCAAAATTTTGAGTTAAAAATCTACCTAAAGTATTTCAGGATCCTCGCCGGGGCACTGTGCTGAGTTTCTTCAAACTAAGACTTGAGTTAGACGAAGAACGGAGCACTTTTGTGTTACTACCCGTGTGCCATGATGTTGATCCGTTGTTCAAACCTTCATGACATGGCCATGTTGCCATCAGAGCTGGCAGAACGAACGAACTTTATTTTCAAAGGGTAACAAATTGGGCACGCAGGCCTGTCTTACATTCGGCCCTTCCAGTCAACCATCTTTCGCACAGCAGTTGTATTTTACTAATAAAGCATGTTATCATCACATGATGATATGCATATTATGAATATTATAAAAGAACAAAGCATGAGTTGTAAACGCATGCAAAAACCAGCGCGTGCATGACACAAGGAGACAATTACATCTCAGGCACTCACAGAAAATGTGTTTCCTTTGTATCCCCGAAGTAGCCGGAGAGGATAATGTGCTTCTTGACAACATCGTACGCTGGCAGCTCCACACCACTGACAATAGCTGCCCGCTGGGCTGTGGGACCAACACCCTGCACATAAAACATATGTCCATAGAAATGTGTCACTGAACTCAGCCACATAATATATATGTCTGTAGTTTAACAACTCAGTATTACCTATTCTGTTATCTGTACTGCTAATTCTTTTTAGCGCTCTCCTCTCTATTATTTTTTCTGTGGGTCTGCGCCCCCACCCCAGCATGTTTTACTGCTACACCACATGGCTGCAAATGTATTATTTAATTTCTAGTTTATTTGCCTGATGCCATCACTAAATTAAACAAAAACATTGACCACTCTTTATTAAATTAACTGGCTGTGGAAAGTTGTTTTGACAAACCTTTTGTTATATGTGAAACATACGTCTACAAGTGATGTTACTGTTATATGTGAAATATGTTTAAAAGTGGTGTTACTGTAATATGTGAAAAATATGTCTACGAGTAAAGTTAAAGTTACATGTGAAACATAAGTCTACATGTGATGTTACAGTTATATGTAAAACATATGTCTACAAGTGGTGTTACAGTTATACAAGGTAAACCAAGTAATGAGACTGATTTGATTATGACAAAGACAAAAGGACCATCTATGAAGTAAAACATAGAATCCAAAGAGGCAACATTCACTTATGATCTGGCAACTTTTTATCGCCCCCTGATAAGCAGACAGCAAACAAGCCGCCATTATGCTGACCTAGTCAGAGGTGCATTGTTACGTAATCAGCATTGAGCAAAAAGCCAACATTAAATTATGTTTCTTCTTCTACGTTCATCTGAAGATGTAATTGCGTTGTGTCCTTTTACAGCATGGCTGCGATTTTTGCACCTTTCGGCCGAAACATCCGAGCATTTGTTAACCGGGTTAGCCTTCCCAGTAAATTATGTTTAAAACTCTGAAAAAGCGCCACTGAGACAGCTGAATTGATGCAGCAAGTTTATGGGGATAACTGTTCATCTTGTGCATAGATTTTCAGGTGGTATTCACGATTCAAAAGTGGTGTGGAAGTGATTACTAATGCATCTAGACCTGGATGCCCAATTTCTGTTCATAATGAGAATCTCACTGCAAAAGTCAGAGAACGGATATAAGAAGAAGATCATTTTTTTTAACTGTAAGAAAGATGGTAGATGAATCTGGTGTTAATAGAGACCATTCGTAAAATTTTTAATGCAAGAAAAAGTTGTCTGCTGGTTTGTACCTTCTTCACGACAATGCACCGGCTTACAGGGCAGTAGTTATACAAGAACTGTATGCCCTAAAATGAGTGTGTGTTCTCAACCAGGCACCCTATTTCTCAGAGTTGTCTCCCTGTGATTATTGTCTATTCCCAAAATTAAGGTTACACTGAAAGGAGGCTTCTTTGACGATATTAATAACATTCATCGACTTCAATGGCCATAACAACAACAAAAAACTACAGGGGTCGTTCCCGTGTTTGTTAGATCGAGCCACTCACTGCATCAATGGACAAAGGGCTTACTTTGAATAAAATACAGGTTATATCTTCAACTGCTGATTTTAATTTTGATGGAATTAGTCTCATTACCTAATTGTCAGACTTTGTATGTAAAACATAAGTCTACAAGTGGTGTTATATGTGAAAGATAAACCTACAAATGCTGACACTATCACATGTGAAATGTTATCAGAACTTACCCTCCACAAGCCAGCCACACCCTCCTGCTGGTAGATCTTCACAAATGAACAAAACATGTTATCGTATGAGGCATGGCTTCCTCGGGCTTGCATTCTCACCTGAAACACATAAACATACAAACAGTCATTAATGAAACCGTTGCTACAGGGACTGGTGCCCTCATCTGCCCCGACAATGACCCAACTTCCCTCCTTTAGCAGTGGCAAAGATGTTTCACCCACTGCTGGTACAGTCCTGGTGTTGACCCACTTCATTAAAATCAACAACAGACAACTGACAGAACTGTCTGGGAAGTCAAGGTGGAACTATCCACATCCTTGTGGCACAACCTATAAAATATGAAGGCCAACAATTCACAGCCCATGATCAGGATCTGTGTTATCTGCCATTATCTTTCCATTATTAAACAAGGCCTGGTCTTTACAGTTTTTCAGCCAGTCTGATCCCCAACCCAACCAGAGGTCATCACTGGTATCCACTACACTTTACCCATGAATCCAGTCATCACATGTGTCCCTACAGGGTCTCTTCTAACATCCTCTCCTGGGAAGAAGTTTCAGCTTTTACAACCAGTAAATTTTCTAGAGAACCCTTGTTTGTCCTGATGAGTTAGAGCAACATTCATTTTGAAATACATTTCTAATAAGTATCCGGTAGGCTAAGTTGATAACAGCATGTGAGCAGAACAAGGTACTTTTCCTGACAGTAAAACATTGCTATTGAAGGTGAAGATCACAGGCCACCCATTTGAACACAGAAGTTCGGGAGAAACCATAATATCTTCCCAAGATTTCTTCCTTTGCCAAATTGGCCTCGAAGACACAGACATATACTTGCCATGTACTGAGCAGAGATACACAGCAAACAACCCTTCACAACACACCCTATAACAATGTCCAGATTCTAATGGAAAAGAGGACAGCTCAGGATAATCTACAGCAAGCACGCTGTCCAGAGGGTGACCCATACTAGAACGGTCATTGAAGGAGAACAAATTAGCAGACCACGTCACAAATAAAGTTTAGAAGTGATGAGTCAAGGAACTTACACAGGTCTTGAGACTGAACTGAATCACTTGACATGGCCCAGCATCAGTCGACAGCTCAGAAAACAAACAAACAACAAATTCATGAGAGAACAGACGAAATGCCAGAGTTTACAGTGAAACAGTGAATACCAAGAAAAAAGAAAACAACATGCCATGATGAAAGTGTCAAAATGAAACTCATGACAAAACAGTGTCACAGTGAAGTAGTGTACTATGATGAAACAGTATTACACCGAAGAAGCAGGCCATGATAAAACAGTGTCACAGTGAAGTAGTGTACTATGATGAAACAGTATTACACCGAAGAAGCAGGCCATGACAAAACAGTGTCACAGTGAAGTAGTGTACTATGATGAATCAGTATTACACCAAAGAAGCAGGCCATGACAAAACAGTGTCACAGTGAAGTAGTGTACTATGATGAAACAGTATTACACCGAAGAAGCAGGCCATGACAAAACAGTGTCACAGTGAAGTAGTGTACTATGATGAAACAGTGTCACAGTGAAGTAGTGTACTATGATAAAACAGTATCAGACCGAAGAAGCAGGCCATAACAAAACAGTGACATATTGAAGCAATGTAAACCAGACCCACCTTGAGTACGTCTGTTGGGTTTGCTATAGAGCTGGAGGTAATTCCGGCAACCACCCCACAGAATACATTAATGGCCAGAGTTTCATCTGCAACAAACAATCACAACAACAATGAATGATGTAAAGCAAACAACTGGATTATATGCAATGGTAAGATCTACAGAGCTACACAAAGCTACTGTTCATGCCGTGTGGCATTTGTAGTCACATCTGTCCACAACCTTCTGTCTCGATCATTGACACAGATGATCCTCCATGCGTCGGTGTCAAACTGTCCGGCATCTTCTCTCTTGGTCTCCCTCTGCCTCTTTCTGATGTGCGCCATCACTTCTCTTCGTGAGGTAGTTTTTTTTTTTTTTTTTTTAAACATCTTCATTACTCTTTTACACACAACTACACGGACTTAAATGCAGGCTAAGATCACAACATGACAAGATAGTTCACAACTGCTCCCAATGACATGACAGCTGACAAGCGCCACAACTGACATGACAGTTGACAACTACCACCAATGAAATGAGACAACTACCACCAATGACATGACAGCTGACAAGCGCCACCAATGACATGACAGCTGACAAGTGCCACCAATGACATGACAGTTGACAACTGCCACCAATGAAATGACAGTTGACAACTACCACCAATAAAATGACAGTCGACAACTACCACCAATAAAATGACAGTTGACAACAACCACCAATGAAATGAGACAACTGCCACCAATGAAATGAGACAACTGCCACCAATGAAATGAGACAACTACCACCAATAAAATGACAGTTGACAACAACCACCAATGAAATGAGACAACTGCCACCAATGAAATTAGACAACTACCACCAATAAAATGACAGTTGACAACTGCCACCAATGAAATGACAGTCGACAACAACCACCAATGAAATGACAGTTGACAACTACCACCAATAAAATGACAGTCAACTACCACCAATAAAATGACAGTTGACAACAATGAAATGACAGTTGACAACTACCACCAATGAAATGAGACAAGTCCACCTGACAGTCAACTACCACCAATAAAATGACAGTTGACAACTGCCACCAATAAAATGACAGTCGACAACAACCACCAATGAAATGACAGTTGACAACTACCACCAATAAAATGACAGTCAACTACCACCAATGACAGTCAACTACCACCAATAACAGTTGACAACTACCACATGTGAGACAACTGCCACCAATAAAATGACAGTTGACAACTGCCACCGACACGAACAACCACCAATGAAATGACAGTTGACAACTACCACCAATAAAATGACAGTCAACTGCCACCAATGAAATGACAGTTGACAACTACCACCAATGAAATGAGACAACTGCCACCAATGAAATGACAGTCAACTACCACCAATAAAATGACAGTTGACAACTGCCACCAATGAAATGACAGTTGACAACTACCACCAATGAAATGAGACAACTGCCACCAATGAAATGACAGTCGACAACTACCACCAATAAAATGACAACTGCCACCAATGAAATGACAGTCGACAACTGCCACCAATAAAATGACAGTCGACAACTACCACCAATAAAATGACAGTCTACAACTACCACCAATGAAATGACAGTCTACAACTACCACCAATGAAATGACAGTTGACAATTGCCACCAATGAAATGACAGTTGACAACTGCCACCAATAAAATAAGACAACTATTACCAATGACATGACAGTTGACAACTGCCACCAATGAAATAAGACAACTATTACCAATGACATGACAGTTGACAACTGCCACCAATGAAATAAGACAACTATTACCAATGACATGACAGTCAACAACTGACACCAATGAAATGAGACAACTATCACCAACGAAATGACAGTTGACAACTAGCACCACTGAATGAAATAATCGACAACTACCACCAATGAATTGACAGTTGACAACTGCCACCAATGACATGACAGTCGACAACTGCCACCAATGACATGACAGTCAACAACTGCCACCAATGACATGACAGTTGACAACTGCCACCAATGAAATGAGACAACTGCCACCAATGACATGACAGTTGACAACTGCCACCAATGACATGACAGTTGACAACTGCCACCAATCACATACCAGCTGTTAACTACCCTCAATGACATGACAAACCAGCATTCCAGAACATGTACTCACTGGCAGGGTCTGAAATCAACGATCGCTTGAGTGTGTGATAGACCCCAATCTTGATGGTACCATACGTTGCCTGGCGCAGTAGAGCAGGGCCCAGCCTGAGTGGGAAAGAAAAACCAGTCCAAAATGTCAGAGTTGCAACACTGTCTTCGGTTATTACACAATCTACCATGCCGTTCGTCTACACTTACCACCAAGTCAACATTGTTGACAAAATGTACTGTACAGTGGCTATTAGTAAAATGTTGACAAAATGTACTGTACAGTGGGTATTAGTAAAATGTTGACAAAATGTACTGTACAGTGGCTATTAGTAAAGTGTTGACAAAATGTACTGTACAGTGGGTATTAGTAAAATGTTGACAAAAATGTACAGTACAGTGGCTATTAGTAAAATGTTGACAAAATGTAGTACTGTACAGTGGGTATTAGTAAAATGTTGACAAAAATGTACTGTAAAGCGGATATTGGTAAAATATTGACAAAATGTACCGTAAAGTGAATATGTAAAGTAAAGTCGTCACATTTACTCTTGACTGTTGAAAACTTTAATGAAAAAGTGTGAACTCTGTAGAAGTGTCTTTCTGTTTAAGCTTGTCAGTTAACAGTGTGGCATTACTACATTCATCTTATTTTAGATCATTAGCTCTCAACCCAGATCGACCCTTTTTTGGGTGGAACGACCCTTTCACAGGGGTCGCCTAATACCATTGGAAAACACAGTCATTGAAGTTATGAAAGAAAATAATTATTTGGGGGTCGCTACAACACGAGAGAAGTGTATTAAAAGGTCACGGCATTAGGAAGTTTGAGAACCAGTGATCTAACATAAGTTAAATGTAGTAATGCCACACTGTTAAGCTCATGAGTTGTTACAGAACTGATCACAAAGAGAATATTTCTACATGTCTTAGTGTTAACATTTACACAAGCTTTCCTCAGTCACATGGCTTGATTCAGTTGCAAATAATCTGACAGAAGACCACTCTGCATGGATTTTGACAATGGTATGGAGAGTCAGCCGTTCAGAAAGCAAGTGCAAACTACTAAACGAACAACTACTAAGTAAAACTACAAAAAGCAACACACACATACACACACACAAATGGTGTGGTTGCTTTTTCAAACACCCTGTAAAGAATAGTCTACTCACTTTTACTCTCTCTCTCTCCCCTCATTCAGTCGACATATTATCCTCTGCACATCGAATCATTCAGTCCATAAGTGCTCGGATCCCCTCCTCAGTAAATCCTGCAGCTGTGTAACAGCTGAGAACACCATTTCTGTGATGCTTTCAAATTCTTCTTAGGCTTCATACATGGTGCTCTTGTCTGACTACACTAATTTTAACTTGCTGTTCGTGCGGCCTGGTCATAGTTGCAGATTCAGTCACTCTGCCTTCGCAAAAGAGATACTTCTCATTGATCATTCAGTATATCAGCTGGCTCCATGGCTCATCTGATATTTACAGTAGTTTTACCTGCAATCCTATCAGCCTGTTAATTTCCCTGCACACCTGTGTGCCCTGGCATGAATATGAAACTGTGTCAGCCCCCGACTGCCTCAAAGACACCAACCACTGTCTTCAGACCCAGCCCATCTTACTTTCCTGAGCTTACTCACGGAGTCATTGAGAAAGCATGACATCAGACAAACCACATTCCCAAGAGAACATCCCCAATGACTGCTGAACCCTGAACCTACCCTGAGTACAGAGCATGAGCTCCCTCCTCCCGGAAGATGCGAAGGAAAGCATGCAGCATCCCCCTGTACTTGAGATCACGGAGCCGAGCATCAATCACCTGTCCTTGTATCTGTAATCTGGTTTTTGTTGTATCAATGGGAAATGTTCCTGAAAACAACAGCAGAATTTCCAAGGTGATTTCATTGTCTGCTGTGTCATTCTTCTCTTCAATGACAGTTCGCACAAGTAGTTCTTCTTCTTCTTCGTGTACACCGGCTGTAAACTCTGGCGGAAAGTTCTGGCCTGCAGTCCTGTTCCAGAACTGAGTGTTGCATGTGCACCCATTTTACAGATTTGACTCATTTGTAAGCAGACTGCTGGTTCCTTGCCTCTCACACAGATGCACTTAGACTGAAGGAAGCTCCAAATCAGTCGACTCTTACGACATGCTTTTGGGTAGACAGTGGTTCTATTCTTGTTTTCCCTGTAATAGGGCCCCGGAACCCACAAGGAGAACAAGTGGTTCTAAACTAAACACAGCCATCAGAAATAAATTAACTGTATAAAAGGGCAGCCCGTATGCTGTGTTGTGCATTACAGCTAGGCAGCAACATCTGTGCTTTTCATTCTAACCCATCAATTTCAGCGACTCGTAATAAGTTGTATATTATGGCATATTTATTGAGGGCAGTGGGTCAGCACAAAAGAAGTTAAATATGGGACCCTGAAAGGGGCCTTGTGAGTGGCGCAGAGTGGGCGGCTTATCAGCTTCAGGGTGGCAGAAACCAGCTCATTTACCAGTGAAATGTATGTATCAATCAGGAATGGTCAGGCGTACCAACACGCCACAAGAGAAAGTACAATTAAATCCCCAAAGAAACAACGGACCCAATTGTGATGAGGCCTTCAGGGCACATTGAAGAGTCCAAGTTTTTTTTTTTTTTCACATATCAAGTCAAGGGCAGGTAGTCAACCCAGCAAATATAAAAGAATAGAATCCTATTCCTAACAATTCCCAACGCTAGCAACAATTGTTTACTGTTTATTTAACGAATCAACATCATAGCCCACGGGTGTAACGCATAAGTGCTTCGTTTTACTTCTAACTCAAGCCTGAGTCTGAAGAATCTCTGTGCAGAAATACTTTGGGTAGATTTTCAACTCCAAATCTTGCCCGGGCAGTGCCGTTAGCCTACTCTTTTCCACATTCCAACTGCCAAGGTATTTTTTTTACATGCGCAACAATACACACGGGCATCCGGTCTTACTATCCAGAGACCAGGAGACACTACTAGAAGTCCATGTGAAAAAATCCCAATCTTCACCGGGGTAGATTTGACATCACAGGCATCCAGGACAAGTCCATATCCGACCCATCTCCCTCCATAAAAGCCACTGAAGAGTCTTCCTACTGATCTAATTGGTGTCCTTCCCCACCCCCCACCCCATCCCAGTACTGAGCGGTTTCCAAGAACCCATAAAAACTCTGTGTTGCATCGCTTTCTCCAGGTTAGGATTTTCAGTATCTTCCATTTTACATGTTACTTCGACCCACAGGTAAGAGATCCCCTCTGCCTTGTGCAGTTGCCTCATCACCCCTTTCCTTTACAAAAACAGTCCAACCAACCTGTCCACCTGCTCTTCCCAAAATGTCTGCAGATAAAATCATTTGTCCTTAAAACTACATTTCCGGCGCTTCCACATAACGGGCTGCCTGTCCATGGTTCACTTCTGTAGATCAGCACTGGCTTTAAACATGTCTAAAGATTTCTCACACCTCAGCCTACAATGTTTACTAATAAAGAACACACACTTAGCAAAGAGAACCAATTCTAGCAGAGACAGAGGAGAGACAATCTACCTACCACACTCAGCCGTGATGGAAGCCAGGCCACCGTACAAGAAAGGCCGCCAGTCGTTCATCCTGTGTTGTGTGGCTGCCGTCTGTGCAGGCTGGGGAACCTCTGTTTCTGGCACTGGTGTAGCAAAGTGGTGAGCTTGGGTGGAAAATTCACTTCTGGAAACAAAATGACAACAACCAATAATCACAAGTATCAGAACAAGCGGACAGAGTGAAAGTGTTATGTAGAGACTGCGACCTCCAACCATAAAAGCTTTTTCGTTGCTACTTCATAACTTCAGTGTATATATGTATTCTGATGGTTTGAGGCGACCCATATGAAAGTGTTTTTTTTTACCCCCAAAGGGGTCCGCGACCCATAGGCTGAGAACCACTGGGTTAGAGGAACTGAAGAATCAAAATTTGCTGCAGGCAGGGCAGGAGGAACAATTGGACACTTTATGACAACGGGCAAACTTTATAGAGGAAAAGATCAACAGACAGAGGTGGAAATATACACATAAAGAGCTGGGGATATATAGGTATGTGTCTGTATGTATATATACTGTTTATTTAAGTCAAGTGTGACAGATTTAAAAAAAAACCAACAACTCAGAACACCAAGTAATTTTATAGTCCAGTCTAACCCCCGTGTGGGTTTCGAGGCCCCATTGTGGGGAAAACAAGAATAGACCCACTGCCTCCCCAAAAGCATGTCGTAAGAGTCGACTAATTGGGGAGCTTCCTTTGAAGTCGGAGTGCATTTGCCGGAGAGGCAAGGAACCAACAGTCTGTATTCAAGAGAATGAGATCTGTAAAACTGATGCACATGCAGGTTCTGGAGCAGGACTGCAGTTCAGTAGTGGACGAGCAACCAGAACTTTCTGCCAGAGTGTACAGCTGGTGAACGCGAAGAAGAAAAAGAGTCCAGGCTAAGACAAATAGATGCTGGCTTTTTCTCTACTATCCCAGAGCTCTGCCTTGTGGGTTGGTACTGTCTCTGATCAACAGAGAGAATGATTTCTAGACTAGAAAATGAATGAACTAGTGTGTGCCCAACTATCATGAGCGATAAGCATGTCCAGCTTTCCCAAGATATAAGCATATCCAACTGCCTGAAGTAATGAGTTTATCCAATTGTTGTTAGTAATGGTGAGCTGTGGTGCCCCAGCAGCTAGATACTAACCTGCTGTCTGAAGGTCTAGGGTTCAAATCTGTACTGAGGTAGATTTTTTTTTCTTCAAAACTGACTGTAGTTCCCAAATTGATGGTTGGTAATGAATATGCCTCATGTGTTTATTGATGCATGCGCGTCTTCACGATATATATATATATAAGTGAATGCATTATGCAAAGACCAACATCTCTATGCTGTATTAACTCTTTGTGCAGAACATGTGCGAGGCTGGTTGACCCTAGCTATACCAGTGACACAAAAAACTCTTACATAAGGCAAATACACACACACTGTCATCAAGTAAGCTTCAGTGCACCAAATCACCCTGGAGTGTTTATGCTACTGTCACCCTACAGGTGGTTCATGGGGCTACAGATGCATCAATTACTCTAGGTTTGAATCCTATCCCAGTTTCACAAGAACTACTGATCTCTATGGATATGCTACATCAGTGACATCTCCTATATAGTGAGATGGGACACCCAGGTTTCCCAGATAAGGAATTAAAAATAAATAAACACACACAGGAAAATGGTTACATTACAGATCCCGAGCAGTTACTAATGACAAAGAGTAGGTCACAATGACAAAAACCCTCCAGAAAAGAGTGCATCTAATTTTGGATCTATAGTGAACAGATGCATGCCAAAGCTGGACACAAGTTTCATGCTTAAATCACTGTCTAGCAGTAGGCAGCAATGACAACTCACAAATATCCAGGTGATCGAATGACTCACCTAATCCATAACTACAAACACACGTCCCCAGTCAAGAGAACATCAAACATTGCCATGTGACAATGTTAACCTTATCAAACTGCTGACTTCAACAATATCTGACCACTGTAAGAATGCGGGTCACTGTGTCAGTATGTGTCATATCAGCAGGTGTCCTACATAAATCCCTGATAACTGTCACCAATACTGTCTGTAATGACTGATGGTTAGTTTCACTTCAGTCTCCCCAGAACCCGCACATATACACACTAGCTCACTTCTGATTGGTAGTTTCCGAGCCCCGTGACCTTTGTTCAATTACGGAGATGTTCCGCAATGCGATTGATATCAAGTATTGCATATTTTAGCACACCCAGTGCTTTTAATACCCTAAAAACATGGAGAAACTGGGTCTAACACAACCCCCCTAGAGAGTTCTGCAACCTATGTCACAGGCATTCTCCTTCTCCTAATGAAAACACCAATGCAAGACATCGCAGAAACCAAACAAACAATAGTGGGACACACCGCATAACCTTCAGGAAAGTCGACCAGCCCAACAAACTTGTGAATGAAAAGTGACCTAAGCTATTTGGAGAGACTAACGTCAAACCAACCTGACTGGTGTGTTCTAGGTTGAGCGAAGAACCAGAGCCTAAAACTGCTAAATATAAGATGGTAACATCTTGACAGAGACGATGTACAGTGCTTGGACACGATTAGTCTTTTTTTTGGCTCTGTCCTCTTATGCCCTGCAGGATGGACGTTACTTTCTTTTTTACTTTGATGAAAATGGAATGGATGTGTCAGGTTTTAAAAAAAAAGTTCAGATATCACAGCCTATGTGTAAACCACAACACCATGTGCCAACCACCCCCTAAAGAAGAAGAAACAACATTATTCTGGATAGTCTAAGACATAGCTATTCAACTGGCGGCCTGCGACCAAATCTGGTCCGCTGAGACCTAGCGAATGACCCACGAATCAATGCCAGTTGTATTGTATTTATTATCTTTCTACAGTGGGGCTCAGGCCTGTGACGATCCCCACTGTCATATTTCGGCCCCTGAGTAAACTTAGTTAAACAGCCCTGGTCTAAGATTAGACGGAGGAATGTCATCAAGAGAACTGACCTAGAAGTACTGAAGGCTACGAGGTGAGGCTCCCACTTGATGACAGGGCACCCCCTGATGACAAATTTCATGCCATGTCACTGTTACCATGACAACAATGGGGCACACCACTTTCTCTGTCTAAATTGTTAGTTTGGTTATTTATTAACATCTTACCCCAGATGACGTCACAGGACAGTCCAACATTTGCGAGTGGTAAGACTGGGTTTCCGAGCTTTATGATGCTTTTAACAACCCCAAAACATTATAGAACTGGCCCTAACCCCAACCCACCTACGCCCCACGAGAGAGTGTAGCCTAGGTCCCAAGACTGCATGCAGCCTATCTACCTCGACCCTGAAATATTAGACTGTCCCGTTACCTGTGGATTTCTCTGCTTGGGGTAGGATATTAATATTGCACCGTTAGTTCTATATCATCTTGAGGATGTCACAAACTAACCCCTAGCATCTGTAAGCTGGGCAATTTTATGTTCAGTAGTCATTGCTCTCTGAACAGGATGTTCCTAACATTGACAAAAATCAATGAAAAGCAGTTAGCTACATAAAGCCTGCAGTTGACTTTGAACAGAGTGTCAGAATTATAAAACCTAGTAAAGAAATAAGAGATATATCTGGGCAACCACTAGTAACAACAGTTATAACACAGAGAAGATGGCGCTACATCAGACACATCCTGAAAATAAATCAGCAGAGAATCACTAACAGGCATTAAAATGGGAAGTAAGTGAGTGAGGAGGCCCAAATGAAACCCTAAGACGAACATTTGATGAGAGAGGCCAAAGCTGCTGACTAAATTCCATCCATGATATTAAACTGATCACACAGGATAGAACGGATTGGGGGACTGGACTGCCAGCTCTGCGTGGCAAGTAATGGCACAACAGGATAACGAAGACGTTATACTTTAGCAAACATGAGCAAAACTTTTTTTATTGTTTGTATAACTGTATAAACATTTATTTATTACTGTTTAGGTTTAAACAACAGATCAACAACGTGGCACAAAGGTAGTAAACTCATTAGTGCTCCGCTCTACTTCTAACCCAAGATGGAGTCTGAAGAATCTTAGCACACTGCACGAACTCCACAGCACCGGCGAGGATCCTTAAATACTTTGGACAGATTTTTAACTCTAAATTTTGCAGACAACTGCCAAGGGATTTTTTACTGTGCAACAATACACATGGGCATTCGGTCTTACATTGAGACCAGAGAAAATTACTAGAAGTGCAAGTGGGGAAAAAAATACCAGCCTTCACCGGGGCCTGAACCCGGGACCTTCGGCACTTGTGGCGTACGCCATATGCCTTGAAACCATGCAGCCGCCTAATTTTTTTATTTAATACATGAATCACTGTTTACCCAAGACTTGAAACCAAAAAGAACCAACAGCAATCACATGAATTAGATAAATTAACGTGACCAAACTAATTAAATCTCAGAAATGAAATGTTTACACACTATGCTAGGTGTAGGGAGGAAAATCAATTTAGGGACAATGATATCAGGAGAGCTGGCATAGAACCAACAATGAACTTTATACGTAGACAACAAATCAAATGGTCTGGCCATGTAACAAGATTAGCGTCAGACAGGGCACCACAGAAAGAAATGCTATACAAACACAACAGTATCAGAACCAGAGGTCAACCACACAGAATATGGACTGCAGAAATATCAGAAACATTGAAAAGTACCTTATACGAAGCTAACAGAAGGTCCTGTTCCAGGAGTAGAGGAAAGAAAAAGACCTAACTAATTAAGCAGCTGATTAAATTACATATTAAAGTAATTTTTGTAAATGTAGGAGGTATCTGAATTTGAAAGAACTACTTGCTGTTAACTTTACTACTATCAGTTTTTCCTAGGAACAAAATGTGCTGGTACTTTTGCCTTAACTCTTTAAAGACTAGTCGCCAGCTGACTGGCTTTACAATTTATCCCTATCAGTTAGACTAGTCAACAGTTAACTGGTGTTTCATAGAGACACTCTAATTTTGTTCCGTTTGTGGGGAAAACCAACTCTCATAAACAAGTTTTTGAAAAATTTGGAGT